CGGCTAGGCCAGACGGGCGTTGGTGAACAAAGGGCGGCCCTGCGACGGGGACCGACTGCTTCCGGGTTCGCCTGCTCCACCGACGCTGTATTCTGGTTCCGGTGGGCCTCTCGCCGCGTCCCGGGATTTGCTCGGGGACCTTAGCGCCATTTGGAAATGGGACCGCCCGACACCTGCAAGCGTCAGCAGTGAGAGAGTTCTGCGTTTTTCTTTTTCCTGAGTCACTGGGTCTTTGGGAAAGACACGTGGTTCTGAGACTCGAAGCGCTTGCATTTCCCGAGTATTTAATCGCTTTGAAAGTAAAGTCCCAAATCTTTTGGTGACTTAACCCACCCCCAAAAAACTAGAGTGAGCAGGCTTGGAGGCCCAGGCCTGTAATCCCGGCATTGGGAAGGTTGAGACCCGAAAATCTCAAATTCAAAGCCAGCCTGGGCTTCTAGAAGAGAATCTCTATGTATGTATGTATGTATGTATGTATGTATGTATGTATGTATGTATGTATGAGTTATTGACTCCTCTTTATGTGCATTGGCGTTTGTGCCTACATGTATGTCTGTGTGAGGGTGTCACATCCCTTGGAACTGGATAGATACTGGAACTGCCTTGTTGGTGCTGGCAATTGAACCCGGGTCCTCTTAAACCTGAGCCCTCTCTCCAGCCCCAAGAGACAGCTGTGCAGTGGTGGTGCACACCTTTAATCCCAGCGTTCTGGAGGCAGAGACAGGAGGATCTCTGTGATTTTGAGACCACCGTGGTCTACAGAGCGAGTTCCTGGATAGGCTCCAAAGCTACAAAGAAACCCTGTCTCAGGGAAAAACAAACAAAGAACAACAACAAAAACTTGTGAGGCTGGTGAGACGACTAAGTTGGTGAAGGGCTTGCTCTTACAAGCATCAAGACCTGGTCACACTGTGACACTCTAGACTGTCGATAAAGTTTACTTTGAATCAGGGGGTAGAGCCAGCCATAGAGAAGCAAGCAATTTCGATACAGAAGACATACAGTAAGGAAAGGGGAAAGCCAGAACTAGAGTTTGAGCTTCATTTTGGTTCTGGGAGGAGGGAAGATATGCCCCTCTTGAGGTGTATCCTGCCATAAAGCAAGGTCAGTTAGTTGTGCCTCAGCCTCCCTGAGCTAGCAGGTTTTCATCCCAGCCTATAAATAGATACATAAATAGAAACTTAATCTATGTGTTGCATTTTTTGTTTGTTTGTTTTTTTTTGTTTTTTTGTTTTCTTTTTTGAGACAGGGTTTCTCTGTGGCTTTGGAGGCTGTCCTGGAACTAGCTCTTGTAGACCAGGCTGGTCTCGAACTCACAGAGAAACGCCTGCCTCTGTCTCCCGAGTGCTGGGATTAAAGGCGTGGGCCACCAACACCCGACTGGAAACTTAATTTAAACCTACATATGGTGACTGTAACAGAGCCAGGGTGCAGGAGCAGAAGCCCTGTGAGGTGTGGCCAATGGGGTGCATAATGTGGGCAGTGGGGCTGTAGACAATAATTAAAATACCTGTAGATTCATGTGCCAACCCCTAAGCTGATGGAAAGACATCATTTGGTGCCCCACAAATGTAGCAGTACTTTCTAGTTGGGATTGCTGGCCCACAAAGGACATGGAGACTTGTTAATAATGAAAGCTTGGCCTTATCTTAGGCTTGTTCGCAGGTAGCTCTCATAACTTAATTAACCCATATAATTTTTTTAGTCTACATTCTGCCACGTGGCTCAGTTGCCTCTTAGTACTGCACAAAATCATGTGTGCCTAGATTCCTTCTTCCAGTCTCTCTCTCTGCCCAGAAGTCTCTCCTGTTCTCTCCTGCCTAGCTATTGGCCATTTAGCTCTTTATTAAAGTCATTAGAAAACGCCAACGCCTTAGGCAAAGACACTTCTTTACAGCATAAACAAATATTCCGAAACATCCACCTACCCACTTTTTTTTTGTTATGTTTTTTTGGTTTTTCCGAGACAGGGTTTCTCTGTGTAGCTTTGGAGCCTGACCTGGCACTTGCTCTGGAGACCAGGCTGGCCTCGAACTCACAGAAATCCACCTGCCTCTGCCTCCCGAGTGCTGGGATTAAAGGCGTGCGCCACCAATGCCCGGCTTTGTTTTTATTTTCTTAAAAGCAGCTTCACACAATGGCATCCCAGCTCTTAGGAGGCAGAGACTGGAGGGGTGCTATTGGCTTGCTGGTCAGCAAGTGTAGCACAATCTGAGTTCAGGTTCAGGGTCTCGAAAAACGTTAAGTTTGGAGGGGCTGGAGAGACGTTGCAGCAGCTAAAAGGGTGCAAGCAGAGGACCGAGATAAGTTTTCAGCGCCCAGGTTGTAAGGTCAAAACTGCCTTGAATTCTAGCTCCCGGGAGTTCAGCATCACTGACTTCCATGGGCAGGTTCGAGAGCATGCGCGCGCGCGCGCGCGCACACACACACACACACACACACACACACTTAAACCACTTTTGAAGTTGGAGAAGAAATGGAGGAAGACACCGTTATGAACCTCTGGCCTCCGTATGCTAAGGGACATAACCATACACAACCATAGGAAAGCTCTGGAATCTGGAGGTGCCTGTTACACCCAGCTAATTTCTCTGGACCCTGCAGGTCACATGAGTCAGCACAGAAGGACCTTGTAAAAATCACTCCAGACCAGGGGTGGTTCAGACATAGCTTCTCCCTTGGTAGGATCTCCCTTGGTAGGATCACCAAAGGTTCCTGCATTGGTGGGGGGGGGGGTGCTGCCCACATCAGAGTGAGCTGCCAACTAGTTGTGCCCTCTGTGCCCAACTGCCTTGTTCAGGAATTGCTGCATCTGCTTCTGTTCCTCCCTTGCTAAAGGGTTAAATATCAATGAGGTAGGTCCTGGGTTTATTGTGTTTGGTTTGGTTTGAGTTTGGATGCTAGGCAAGCACCATCTACATCCACAGCCCAATTTCATTTGTTTAAACAGCGGCCACTCCCCCCCCACCCCCTTCTACAATACCCAGCATAATCAGGGACTGGTGTGTTAAATTAATGGGTAGTGGCTCACTTTGTAACACACTAGGACCTACCAGCAGTATGTGTAGTGTGAGCAGGCGTGGTGGTAGCCTGGGGCCAATTGGAGTTCAGTTTTCCAGCATCTATCTGATGCAGTGGTTTATTAGGCCTTGGGGTCTTGTGCAGGACTGTTTAGCTGTGTTACAGCTGTGACCGTTGTAGTGTTTTAAAGGCATGAGATCAGACACTCGGGTCCCGGTAACTTATCCTAGTCCACAGGAGGAGATCTATGTCCTTGGTGTGGTACAGTGTGTCAAGTGATAGGCCAGAAATGGGTGGGGGTACCTTCTTGCCCTAAGCCTTTCCACTCTGCTGTGCCAGAGATGAACAGCTGTCCTGCTTATGTGTATATATGTGTGTGTGTGTATGTATGTATGTTTTTTTTTCAAGACAGGCTTTCTCTATGTAACAGCACTAGCTGTCCTGGAACTAGCTCTGTAGACCAGGATGGCTTCGAACTCACAAAGATCCACCTGCCTCTGCCTCCCGAGTGCTGGGGTTAAAGGCATGTGTCACCACGGCCCAGCCTCTGCTAATTTAATTCTTTAAAAAAAAAATTTTTTTTTTGAATTTATTATGTATAGTGTTCTGCCTGTATGTATGCCTGCGGGCCAGAAGAGGGCACCAGGTCTCATTATGGATGGTTGTGAGCCACCATGTGGTTGCTGGGAATTGAACTCAGGAAGAGCAGCCTTAATTGCCTAGCCCCTGCTTATGTAATTTGTTTCTTCAAGACAGGGTTCCTCTGTGTAGCTTTGGAGCCTGTCCTAGAACTAGCTCTGTCACTGCCCAGCCGCTTACACAGTTCTTAAAGGTGACTTTTGCATTCTTGTTTAAGGTTGGTGTTCGAGGAAAGGACATTGTTGTTCTTGGTGTGGAAAAAAAATCGGTGGCCAAGCTACAAGATGAAAGAACAGTACGGAAGATCTGTGCTTTGGACGATAATGTCTGCATGGCCTTTGCAGGTACAGGGTGCACCGGGCGGGGTGGTGAGTGGAACTCAGGTACCAGCTGGTGGGGATTGAGATCCTTCAAAAGAGAGTAGCCGTTGCTGGGTGATGGTGGGCCTTCCTTGCCACCAATAGCGCTACAGGGATGGCAGTTACCGCTTTCAGCAGATCCAGCCTGGGAAGCCTCTGCTCCCTGAAACCAAACTAGGTACAGTGTAACTTGATTTGCAGTTGTTCGTGTACTTGCTTCTTAGAAAGGCTTGCAGAGGCTGGTGTGCCATCCTTGTGTTCGGCCATAGTGAGGCGTTGCCCTGACAAAGCCTCCGCTCTTGTTTCAGGCCTCACTGCCGATGCAAGGATAGTCATCAACAGAGCCCGGGTGGAGTGCCAGAGCCACCGGCTCACCGTGGAGGACCCCGTCACTGTGGAGTACATCACCCGATACATTGCCAGTCTGAAGCAGGTAGGGGCTTGGGCACCACTGTCAGGGCTGCCGTGTGACTCAACAGAATGGTGCTGTTGGTTCTTCTGGCTTGAAACCATCCCAACCCTGGTTTCTGGAGGGAAATACAAGCGTTTATTTTGCTACTCTGAGCTACCATTTGCCAAACAGCTGAGAGAGGGCTGAAAGGCACCCCCACTCTGTGATAAGATGCTAGTAAACTGTATACAAACTGTAGCTTGTAGCTGGAACATGTCTGCCTGTGTTGAGGTGACTTCCAGTAGTCTCAGTTAAGATGTGTGATGCAGGGCTAGAGAGGTGACTAATCAGTTAAAGGAATTGGCTGCTCTTCCTGAGGACTCCAGTTCAATTCCCAGCAATCACAAAAAAGCTTAGTCTGTAACTCCATTTGCAGGAGATCCAACTTTCCTGACACCAGATACCCATGTGATACACATCGATAAATCTTTTTAAAAAGCTGCATAGCCGGGTGATAGTGGTGCACGCCTTTAATCCCAGCACTCGGGAGGCAGAAGCAGGCAGATCTCTCAGTTCAAGACCAGCCTGGTCTACAAGAGCAAGTCCCAGGACTGCATCCAAAGCTCGATCCTGCCCCTGCCCCCCCCCCAAAGAAATGCATAATGCATCTCCAGTCCTGGTGTGTCTAAGAGGAAAAAGAAATGTTAACAGCTGTTCACAATTTCCTTACCACCCAAATTACAGGCCGCTTGGGATGAGCTTAGTTCTGTCTTGTCACCAAGCATTGTGGTTGAATGTTGACTTTTCTTTCCAGCGCTATACACAGAGCAATGGGCGCAGGCCATTTGGCATCTCTGCCCTCATTGTGGGATTTGACTTTGATGGCACCCCCAGACTCTATCAGACTGACCCCTCAGGCACATACCATGCCTGGAAGGTAAGTCTGTTTCAAAACAGTGGGACTTTGGGCTGTAGAGAGGTATTCAGTTGGCATTAGCAAATAGATGACAACCTCTTAGTTTAGGTCTGTGTGTACTGTCTGTCTGTTCCATGATGCTTATATAAAAGCAAAACAGTCTACGTTACTCTTTAACATCGAACCAAAGAGAGGGCCTATATCAAAATCTCCCCTAAGTGTCTCATTCTTAGTAAGGATCAACACTAGTGCTAATAATCTTAAAGGTAAGACCTGTGTCTGTGCCATCACCGCCAACCGCAGGCCCTGGAAGAAGGCAGCCACTGGCCAGCCACATAGACTTGGCTCTACTAAGACACATGTGTTTTAGGCCAATGCCATAGGCCGGGGCGCCAAGTCGGTGCGTGAATTCCTGGAGAAGAACTACACTGATGACGCCATCGAGACAGATGATCTGACCATCAAACTAGTGATCAAGGCACTTCTGGAAGTAAGTGCACATGGGAAACCCTAGGCAGCACGGGCCCCACTGTGTGACTGGTGGCTTCTTTATACATTTGGGACAGTCAAGGCTTACTGCCTAAAGGCAGAACATGAGACAAGGCCCAGGTGTGGCATCCCCGGTTCAGGTGACTAGACCTCCCAGAGGCTTGTGTGTGTGCATGCTCAGTCAAGGAAGTAGGATGAAAGCAGGCGAAGCCACAGTAGATAGAAATGCAGGCATTGTGTCCCCCTGTGAGGAGTTGCTGTGTGGACTGGAGGTTACGTAGGCACCTCTCACAACTGCATTTGGGACAAGAGCCATGGATGGTCACCCTCCCACCTGAGGGCAGACCCACCTAATGGCTTTTGCCTTCTTCAAGGTGGTCCAGTCAGGTGGCAAAAACATCGAACTTGCTGTCATGAGGCGGGATCAGCCCCTCAAGGTAAGTGAGTCTACTTTTGGTTGGAAGGGTTCTGACAGAGGAGAGCCCCTGCCTTGTGTACCCAGTCCCAAGTTACAGATGCGTACGAACATAGACTTTTTGCTTTATTGGTGGCATTTTCTTATCATCCCCTAGTCACCAGTTGTACTGTGGCATTAGCTCCCTGCCTTTGTTTAAGAATATTCTCGATGCCATTCTGTCGAGATGTGCTCCTAGCTGTGCTGCTGGCTAGGTCATTTGCAGCACTACACAGGGCTATAGAAGTAGTTAGTTGCACTACCAGGTGGTGCTATGTTTGCACCTGGTGCAGACATTAATCTTGTATGTGCTTCTGGGGTAGATTCTAAACCCTGAAGAAATCGAGAAGTATGTTGCGGAAATTGAAAAAGAAAAAGAAGAAAATGAAAAGAAGAAACAAAAGAAAGCATCCTGATGAAGTGAGCATTGGGTAGAGCAGCTTCCAGCCTCAGTGTTGAGCCTTCTGTCTGCTTGTTTAAGCCCAATAAACGTCTACCTTTTTTAACTCTCTCTTGTGATGAGAACACATCATTTGAGTGCAGCTGTAGTTATGGTATCTTTGTGCTTCTCTCAGGGTGTCTGCCAAAGGGTGTATACAGCAGACTCAGGGTTGTCCTTTCAGAAAAATCAAGTCTGCAGAGCCATGACTGGCAGTGTAGCTAGGTCAGTGGTACAGCTCCAAAGGACCCAGCACTCATGCAGGATGACTAACTCCAGTTCATGAATGCAATATTCACATACACCAAATGAACCTTAAAGAGCCAGGTGGGCGGTGGTAAGAGTGTACCTTTAATCCCAGCACTCATAGGCAGAGGCAGGACTAGCCAGGGCCACATTGAAACCTTGTCTCAAAAAGGAAGAAAAGCTACATAGTAAAATCTCTGTCTCCCATGCCACACACACCCCACCCCCAAACAATTTAGTGCTCAGCTTACATTTTGCTGTTTGTCAAGTTTTCTACATAATCCAGGCCATCACTGTGGGTATATTAGTTTGGTGGGGTTTTTTTTTTTTGGCCAGAGATGCACTTCCTCTTGGCTTCCTAGCCAGTTTATCATTCTACCATCTGCTTCAGCTTACAGCTTACCCTTGCCCTGCCCCCCTCCCTCACAATCAGTTTAGGACACGCTTGGGTCAAATTTATGCCTAGCATAACATCTACAAGCTGTAATTTGGCAGAGAAAAACCAATCTAACTGGTTTAGGATGCAAAGCTGCTTATATCTAGTGCATAAGTTTTTATTGCATAAGTCTTTATTAGTCAAGGGCAGGAATACATCATTGATAATCCCAAGGCTGCCTGCCTCCTGCAGGCTGCTCCTCTAACCTGACACAAACCAAGAGTGCCATCCAATCCATTGACCATGTATCTGCTCTGGAGGACTGCCTTCAATACTTGGGGAACAGTTACGGCAAAGCAAAGTGCTTTGTAGCTATAGCAGTTTTCATTCATACTAGACTAGGGTGTTCACCCTAGCAAGATAGCCCAGTGAGAACGAGCAAGCCTACTTCATCTATGGTCATCAGGTCACTTTCTGGCATATCATATGGTACCTTGTAAGTACCTCCACACCCTTAACTAGCGGAGGTATGCTGTAGGTCTGACTAGAACCTGCTTCTGAGTAGGCCTTGGACGTGACACAGGTGATGGAGGCAGCATTTGAAGGTTTGAATGTTTATTTAGTTTGCATTACCCCAACAGTAGCCCCAGTGCTGTGTTCTATTCTCAGCTATGAAGTCCTACAAAAATAAACCCAAGCTTTTGCAATGCGACTTCATCAACACAGAACTAAAGCTTTGTAGCTATTTGAAGGGGTTTTGGTTATCAAGGTGCTTGTTTTCAACAAAATGCCCTGTCAGTCAGAGGATGCATGCTCATACAGAAAAATCTGACCCATTTACTCATGCAACAAAGTTTATGTTCCCACCCTCCCTCCATCACCTTTAAAATAAACACACAACAACTATTTACAAACGAGGAAATAAGGCCAGTGACCTTAGAAAGAAGGGGGAAAAAAAAAAAAACTGGCTCATTTCAAAGTAGATGAGAACACTTAAGTGCAGCCAGAGTCTAACAATGACTGACCTGGGCTAGAGGCGACAAGGACAGGAAGGTTGGTCACACCATATTGGCTTGTCTTGGACTTCGACACTAAGCCTCAGTACCTGTGGAAGCCAGGCTCTACATGACACTCAGGGGGCCCTTCCTACTGTACTCCTCCTCTGTCAGCCTCGAACCCTGAACATCACTTGTTCATTACACAACATGATCCATGGAACACCACCCCCTCCCTGCCCTTGACCCTCCCACCCCTATCCTATGACTGGTTCACCCTGTGCTGGCCCTGCCTGGATCCTGAGACTTCCCACTGTTAGCAGATGGGGTACCAGGCCAGCAGCACCAGGGGCCAGATGGGTTGCAGAGACACATTTGGACACCACACGTGCCAAATAAAATTTGGTTCCGTTTTAAGAGTCAAAGCTGTCGTTTAAAAAAAAAAAAAAAAATTACAAAGTGAGGACTGAGCCTTTGCCTATAGAAACCTTTTTGCAAAATACCAAAACCTTACAATTCGGCTGTGTGCAACCAAGAAGAAAATGTAGGTCAAGATACCTTCAGGAGATCACCTACAAATACTTCCCCCAAAACAAGTGGTTCTAATCAGACCACATCCAAGTTTAGGTTGAGTCCAAAGCCAAGTAGTATGAGGGTGTCCAGACTTGGTAAACAAGATCCTTGTGTCCTTATCTTCAGAACCCTGTGAGAGGACAGGAAGTCAGTGTCCAACAGGTATCTGTCACACAGCTATCTATTCCCTCACCACCCTGGGGACCGGAAGGCAGTAAAGGTAGGGAACTGGCCCTCCACATCCTACATGGAATTGCATAGGACGCTCCAGCCCTTGTTTCTGTGAACAGACAGGCTTGCTCCCCACTTCTAAGTATGGTCTAGGGATGTTCACCCCACCACCTCCTTCCCCAAGGATCCAGAACGGTTCCCACTCACGTGTACTGCACCCTTACACCCGGCCAGTCCCAGCTCGGTGGGAAGTGGGGTTGCGCCGTGTTGTCCCATTGCCTCTACCTCCTCGGAATCCACCACGTGAACTGCGGCCACGAAGGAACCTCCCAGACACCCCAAAGGTCTCAGTGTTCAGCTTTCTCTCTTCAGCCCATGTCGTCCGCCTAGAACTAAACCAAAAGATGAGGTATGTTAAGATCTGACTATAAGCTGGGCGGTGGGGTTGCACACCTTTTATCCCAACACTTGGGAAGCAGAGGCAGGTCTACAGAGCAAGCTCCAGGACAGCAAGGGCTACCCAGGGAAACCGTCTTTTGAAAAACAACAACAAAATCTGACTGTAGTGGGCAACAACTACAGTTTCTGAAATAGGCTTTGTCCCTTGAACAGCAGAAACGGAAGGATGAGCAGGGGAACACTCAACCTAATGCTGCAGAGATCAGGCCTATTTTGGCTCAAGATCCCTCTATCACCAAGAGTAAACAAGTGACACAAGTGGGTGACAAAGAAGCCCTTAAGAGCTCACACAAAAGCATTTAGATCCCAGCCCTTCCTGCTGCCACGTTTGGTCCCCATCCTCCAGCTGAACCATCTAGCTTCCATACCAGCCCATCTTCAGTCACTGTCACCAAGAGGCAGTACAGGTCAACCAGCCGCTCCTGACTGTCTGATTATTTGCTTAGAATATAGTCTACACTATCCCTCGCCCATTCAGATGCATAGCCATGTGCAGGTTGCTGAGACCTGGCCACACCCTCCTACAAGATACAGCCGGGCTTAAGTTCTTCTTTTAGCTTGTGTCACTCTTGCTTCGATTGCTCCCCTAGTATGTGTGCATGGCCCAGGCTACCCAGCTCACTTCCTGTTCTTCAATGGCCTGAGTTGCACACTATGCCTGCTCTGAAGCTTACCATACAGTCTAGGGGTGCTCATCTACAGTGCTGACACACATCACAATCTCTGACTTCCAGGACTTGAGAGGACAGGCAGGCACATCAGGCAGGAAAGAGCAGCACTAATGGGGATGCAAGAACTCAACCTCAGCAAGTCCTCATCAGGTTAGGGGACAGACAGAGGGTTCTGGCACTACATCCTAGATGGCATGGACAGACCCAGTTGGTACTCTTGTAGTTGTCATGTAGAAATATGTAGAAAACAAGCTCAAAGCTTGGACTTAATGTTAGTATACTTTAAGTCACATGCTTCTTAGACTTACAAAACAGCTACCCTTTCCGCAGTGTGCTTAGGCCCTTACCTTGTTTTGAGTTCAGAAGAAATGTTGTCAAAGAAGGACTTGGACTTGTCATAGTAACAGTTGGGCCCCAGAAGATCTTCCTCAGCAGGAGTCTCTTCACTCTGGGTCATCACTGCTGGGTCCTTCTCTTCCCCTTTCTCAGCCTTGTCATCTACAAAGACAAACACTACCCAGTCAGTCTCCTGTTAGGGGTCCACTCTGCAGCTGTCCTCAGGCCCAGAGAGATCCTTTCCTCTCATGGCAAGTCACAAGCTTCACACACCCATCCCAGCCCTCCTCATCTATTCCTCAGAGTGCACTCCAATTCCCACACTGGTCAGGACCTCAACTCACTCCAGAGTGATGCCAGTCATTCTGTCCCAACATGCTCTAGGGATTCTCTTGGGGGATAACTTTCAAATGAATCAGACCTTTAAAATTCAATTTCTTCTTAAATTCTTTATCAAGCTCTTCTCGGTTGAACTGGGCATTTGCACTCTCAAAATCAAAGTCACCTTCAAACTTGATTGTGTTTTCCTTAACATTAGTTGGACGGTTTTGCCCTCTGGAACGATTTCTTGTTCGCCGATTGCCTATGTAGACAATAAACAGCATGGGCTGAATTCACCAACTTATTTCCAGCTTGAATTCAAAAGCAACTCACAGACACACTGATGACAAATGGCACGGTTCACTGAAGCACCACCTTAGCCCCAAGTTCCCAGCACAGGAAGCAAAGCACAGCCTGCTGCTCATGGCTACAGAACTCCAGTGGCCCTGGGTGTTACCTGACCGCCTCCGTGGAGGTCTTCTGTTCTCGTCATTCACCTGCCCTTGGGTGTGCACAGGTGTCGGCTGGACTACATCTAAGGTGCAAAGGGAAAAGTGAGGCCAAGCTCCGCAGAAGCCAGAACCCAGCCACCAAAAGCAGAGCGCCACTACCACATGCTACCTGCCCACAGGCCTGCTTGCAAAAGTGTGTGGTCTGGGATGAGGGCAATGCTTTAAAATCCATGTCCCAGTGAGTATGACATTGGAGACACAGAGAAACTGCAGGGGAAATCAGTGTTCAAGTACCGCTGGCAGTCTTGCTGCTTGGCTGAGCCTGGCGACCATTGAGCTGTGTCCCCGAGGTAACCTTGCTGGGTAACAGTTTCTTAGCATTCAAGTTATCAGCAGAACTAGTCTGGACAGCTTGCTCCACCATGGGGCTCTTGCTGACTGGGGTAGATGGAAAACCAGCTCCTGAGTTAAAGAGGGAA